AAAAAAAAAAAAAAAAAAAAAAAAAAGAAGCAAAGCAGCCACTTCACTAGTTCAGATGCCCACTTTGAGGCCCCAGGATCTTCTAGTTTTCTTAGTCTAATATTCCTGTGCTCTCCAAGAAGTACCAGACCAAACAGTAAAGAGGAATAGGTGGTTTGGGTGCTAGGTCTCCTTAGCATGGCAGAAGTATTTCCCCGATAGCCCATCGCAGCCACTGACGCAGCTCTATCCAGAAGTACTTAAGACCTCTTCACTACTGGGTCACTTGATAAATATGTGTGGATGCTGTGCTACAGTGGACACTGTGGGTATCACGACGAGTAAGACAAATGTAAATATTTATTGAAGGTCATCTAAGCATCATAAATACAGAGAATCACAAACGACACTTCTCATGCTGAAGGTACCCAATATTAATTTCCTTCATTACCTTCTACCTGAAAGCCCTACTCTTCAGCTCACCATCTTATAGGAGACAAAGAAACAAATAATTTAGTCATAGTGCAGCTTGTGATATGATGGAATACAGGATATGATATGAAACAATAAGACACAGAATTGACCAGGGTAGAAAAATAAGAACTCAGAGCCCAGTGTGTTTACATTTCGATAAATAGAATAAGGAATTTTTCTGGAATTTAAGTGAGTTCATAAAAACAAAGGGGATGTCAATTTAAATGGGTACTACTTACTTCTTACTTTGCTTTTGCTCTATTAAAAAGTACCATAAAAATTCAGAGCAAAGGAGAGAAATTAATTTTTACTAACAATGAGATGCATAAGAAACCCTAAAAATCTTCTGAAAACAAGACCAAATGAACTATTTTTGAAGCTCTCCCCCCAAGACCCTTGGGCAACAATTTTATAATCTTCTTTCTAGGTCAGAACTCACATCAAATGAGACAAAGAAAAATCTGGACCTGGAACAAGAGGAAGACATTAGGAATCCATCCACCACACTGCCACAGATTTATTTAACTAACAGATGAGGAGCCAGAATAATCAGATATCAAAAGAAAAGGAAATGCACTGGAGAGAATAAATGAAAAATTATGACTTGGGAGTAAAGGGTGATACATTTTTACAATACCCATGGGTTTAAGTTAGGTAGAAAAGAAATTATTAGAATAATAGGGAGAACAATTTTTCATGTTTCTCCATAAGAAAACATTTCAGTATACTTTGCAGAAATTAAATTTGATTTTTTTAGTGTACTTAAACAAGTACTAAATGAGTTGTGGATTGATATGAATTTTAAAATTTCTAATACCCATTCTATATAATACAGAAGTGGGGAGGGGGCGGGGGAAATGTTTCCACGTGAAATAAATGACTTACTCTGGTTTCTTTTATAAAGCATAAATGAACAGCATCTTCAAAGTGTATAAATAGAATACAAGAATGCCAGTGGGTAGAGAGAGAGAGAGGGAAAGAGGGAGGAAGGGAGGAAGGGAAAGAACAGAAAACCGGAATGAAGAACGATTTGAGGCCATGTACCAATGCCACTGACACGTAATCCGACTCGCAGGCACACTTCCGGCGCTGTACTCTAGGAGGAGCTGTTGGCACACCAGAGAGGAGCATGCGTGTGAGCTCATACCCCAGCAGGGCAAGAAGTTCTTGCAGCTAGAAGCAGTCATGTTTCAACACTTCCAATTCCCTGACGCTGACAAGCTAAACAACTTGTTTTGTCTCTGGGAGCTCTTCTCTGGTGATTAACTGCTTATGGTGAATGCTAATCACACGCAGGTACAGTCCTGAGGAAGGAGCGTCCATCTCCTCTGCTTGCAGCCACAACTTGTCTTGGGCCTGATACTGCCAGGCAGAGCTCCTGCACTCCTACCCCCGCACACCGATTCCTGCACACTGGTCTCTGCACACTGACTCCACACACCGATCCTGCACACTGATCCCGGAAGGCCCCTCCACCTATCTGAGTAATAAAATACTGCCTCTGCTTTTTTGGTATAGCACAGCTTCCTGACAAGAAGTTACCTTTCACCTCTGGGCTCCAGACCAAATATAATTACAATAAAGGGAGTGTTTCAAGCATCCTTGCAATAATCACAGAATAAATCTGCTGTAAGAGTTGGTGAAATAGTGAACTATCAGTGTCCTCAACTCCCCAAGTCCCACACGGAAAATTTACCCCAAATTGTGAGTTCTTAGGAACTGCACCTCAGATTAAAACCTTCTCACCAGGGAGTCTATGAGAATTTGTTCTTGTGTTTTAAATACTAAGTGCTTGTTAAAACGCCAGCACTGCAAAATTGGAGACCATTTAAACAATATAAGGCAGCAGGTGATTAAATCTACCAAATACACATTCAAAGCAGCTTAAGCTACTTTTTAATTAAAAATAAAATATCATTGGCTAAATTCAGATGCCTTAGCTCCACTACCCAGAAAAAGTTAGAAGGCTGTTTAAAATGCAAACCACTGAGGACAAGCCCTGACAGAGGAGACGGAGGGCATGGGGCGGGGGAGCTACACAGGACTTGGCTTGGTCTCTGAATCCAGGTCCCAGGGCACCCAGATGCTAACCCCCTTATGCAGTGGATAGGAAGGGGGTCTCCACTGCACTCTAGGGTGAGGGCACCATGCAGCTGAGGGTTAAATAAGGTTTATTTGCAAAGGCCTCCGAGGGGCCAGGGTGCTCAGCCTTCCTGGCAGGAGATGAGTTGAGCAAGAGCATCTCAGGAAGCTGAGGCACTGGCGATGTACAGATGGCCAAAGGACATGTTAGCGCTGTTTTTAAATGCAGCTTTAGCTAACAGATAAACATTTCTTGAAATAATCATTAGCTCTTGAGGAACCAGGCACAGGAGCTTTAGAGTTAATGGGATCACTTGAGGTTGAAAGAAATTTTTACTGTATGGTTAGAAGTAAATAAACATTGTAGCTTTAAGTTGTTCCTGCTTGTTTAAAATAAAGAAAAGAAAAAGAGCCAGGGGCTTAGTCAACTTCAGGCAGGAGGCCAAGAATTTGAAGATCAGACTTAAGACTGCGATGATATCATTCACTCTGAAGTCTTGATTCTCTTTCTGCAGCATGAGAAAATTTACTGGTAAAACCTTACCTCACCCACAGTTTTCTTATTTTTAAGTCAATTTTTTTCCTCCCGAGAGTGATTTTCCAAATACGCTTTGTCCCTTAGATATAAATGTGACAAATTTACTTTTAGCTTCAGACACACTCTTACCTAAAAAGCTTGCTCTGAAGTACAGTACAGGCACTTGGTGGCTACAGGAATATAAGACGTGATACTCATATTTAACCACTTCAGACGCTCCGGCCGTCTCAGTCACTTCCGAATCATCCAGGGGTACCTCTAGGGCCTCCTGGACAAAAGCAAACAAAAACTAAATGTATTTGTCCATTTTAAAAAGTACTAACATGAAGAGGGAAAGATGAGATTTTTTTCTTCCTGCAAAGTAACAGTTAAATAAATACAGGGCCATGAGGTAAGGAAAAGAGAATTACTCATATTAATGTTTAACATTGAGACCTGGGTAAAAAAGTAAAACCAGAAAGCATTAGCATTAAGTAACTCCAGATTGTTTTTTGGGAGACAAAGCAGCTCTGGGGAAAGAAACAGGAAAGGTGGGGGGAGAGATCTATTTCAAAAGCAACTCAAGATCTTTACTGTACAATTTTAGCAACAAGATGATGGCTATACAAGCCACCTTCTTCCTACCTGCGCAAGCTAAAAACATCCTAACAATTGAACGGGAGGCTGTGAAATGTCCCTAAAGAGTCTGTTGTACTTGCCAAGAGATGATTCATTGTGTGCTGAACAATTCCCAGTTCCATTCTGAATAGGAAACTTATTTTGCAAGAGGTTGAGTTTGTTCGGTATATTTCAAATCCTGGGAGGATTATGCTTTCTTCATTACTGTGCACTCTTTGGTAGAATTCTACAGTGACTCTAGATGTTTTTAATAGATGGCAAAGCTGAACACAGTCTTATAAGCAGAGTTGGTGATAGTCATGCCGTTCCTCAGTTGATTTTTTTCCTTTGACTATGGGTGAGGTTTCTTAAGAATGTATCTCAATGCTTAGAAGCACTTAATTGGACATGTTGAATCAGAGTCTGGTGTTGTGCACACACACATACTTACTTTGGTTGATGGATTTCCTTTGAAATTAAATTAGCAGAAGATGGGTTTGGCTCATTTCTACCTCTCATTAAAACAATAATCGCGACAATGAACAATCAGAAGGGACGGCAGGAAAGACTTCAAACTTTATCAGTATGAAAGAAGGCCGATGTGGAGATAAGGGAAACCAAGACTGCTTTCTGAACCTGTCTCTCCTTTAATAATTCCCTGTTCCCAGTCACTCCACTGGGGAGATGTTAAGTCACAACAGAGACTATTTACAAAATACTTTTCACTGAATCCCAGTAAACACTATCAATTAAAGACAATAAATTAAGTAAGCAGAGAGAAATCACTGAAATAAATGCCCAAGATACAGAACAGTAACACAGTCGTAGGAAAGGTTTTCCTGTTTGTGCTTCATTTTCATTGGTCATGATCATCTAGATTCTTCTACAGGAGTTCTTTCAACCATATCTTTCTTCCTGATCAGTAACTGAGTTGCTTAGTACTTGTAACTTCTTTCTCTTAACACTATAAAAGAATTACATCTTGGTGTTATGGTTTGGATCCTAAATATACCCAAAGGCCATGCCATGAAGGCTTGATGTCCAGCCTGCGGGGCCACTAGGAAGCAGGGGACTCTTAGGAATGGGGCAGAGCAGGAAGAAGTCCGGTGGTTGCCGGTGTGCCCTGAAGGGGATGCTGGGGCCCTGACCCTTCCCTCGCTCACTACTTCCTGCTGCCTGAGAAGCTGCATGATCTGCCTGCCACGGGCCTGATGGGAGCAGGGGCAAGAACCCTGACCCCAACTTCTGGCCAATGAGTCTTCCCTGCTTTAAGCAGGCTCCCTCACAGTGACGGGGAACTGATAAAGACACGCGGTGATGGGGCCGGGAATATAGCTCAGTGGAATTGCACCTGCCTGGCAAGCACGAGGTACCAGTACCAAAAAAAAGACATGTGGTGATAAAAAGGAATTACAAATTCTGCACAAACACATAAAATAAAAAATTAAATTTCCTCATCCCAGCATTTCTCTACTTCACTATTTGTAACATTTTTAAGAGGCCAGAGTACATTTTTCCAGACTTTTGTGGGTTTTTGGCATATAAACACATATACATGTACTTCCAATACCTCCTTCCCATTGTTCACCCCAATTAAACTGTGCAAGGCACATACACGCTCTTAGAGTTTACTTTACACTGGTGGACATCCTGCCACCTGCTGTCATGTCAAGGCTGTAGACTGAATGCCTTCTCTCTACTCCATTGCATGACTGTGACATGGCTGTCTTGTGTGTTTTTGTTTGAACATTTTCACATTGCTAGGAATTTAGGTTCTTCTACAAATAATGCTGCAATGAACATCCTAGCTCAAATATCCTTACACACCTCTATTTTTCTGTAGTGCAGATTCCAAAGAGTGAAATCAGTGCATCAATGTATATTTTAAACTTCAAGAGATACTTCTGATCTGTCCTCAGAAAAATGCTACTTCAATTTATATTTCCAGAAAATAGGTCTGAGGATGCCCTTTCCCCATATCCAGTTAATACTGGATATTATTTGTTTTTGATTTTTGTCTATGTGCTGAAGTTTTAAATGTCATTTTTGTTTTAATTTCTAATTTATTGATTATTAGTGAAGGTGAACATCCATTTATATGTTTACTGATAATACTGACTATAGTTTTTACTCAGTGTTTTCCCAACTCTGTTTATTGTACTTTGCAGCAGTCTTTTTTTATTTTCATACAGTCACACCTGTGCCTTTTCCTTTTTCAGCTCCTGAGTTACATGTTGTCATAGTTTGTGTCTGGATGTCCCCTCAAAGCCTCATATAATCATGGGGCGGGCTTCTAGAGTTTGTGATTGTTTCATGGTCCAATGCTGGGACTATGGGTGTGAGTGCTACACTCACCTTAGGGCAGGTAGTTTGCATACAGTGTAAGAGAGGGAAAGAGGCTATTTGCTGCCTCGCCTCCTTTTCTGCTCTCGCTGCTTTTCGGTCTTCTGCCCCATGAACTGTTGCCCCTACCTTGTGCCACTCTGCCTTGGAGCCAGCCAAGTATGGACTGAAACCTCCACAAACTAAGCTAAATAGACCTTTCCTTCCTTAATTCTGGGGGTCAGGTATTTTGTCTCAGCAATGAGAGAAAAGTAACCAAGACATATGTCTTTAAAAGAAGGCCTCCTGCTATGCTCCATCCACCTCACCCTTAATAATTATAAAAGTTCCTTCCTTACGCACAAACATGTATTGCTAAATTAACATTTAGATCATTAATGGATGTGAATTTTGTTTTTGTGTATAGTGAGGTAGATTTCTCCCGGACACTTTCTCACAGTCCACTTTTTTCTTATTGATCTTAAATGTTACTGTTATCATGATTTAGGGGTGTGTGGATTTTTATTCCTCTGTGAGCTACTTCTCTTCTTAGACACATCACTGCCAATCTTAAGTTCATACAGAATCTAAGGAATTTGGTCATTGATTTCTGTGGAAAACTGTAGAAACAGACTGCCTATGACCCAGCCTTGTCAGGGAGGATACAATTTTTGGAAAGAATGTTCTTCACACAAACTCAAATCAAGCACTCCAGAATGTGAGGGACATGTCCCCAAGTGCATGTAACCAGCTGATCAATCGGGCACAGATCCAGACCCTCAGGAACAGTTAAAGAGCCACGAAGAATAAGAGGGAGGGCAGAACAAATTCCCGAAGCGCTTCCCAAGTCTCACTCTTGTGATGTTCTCGCCAGCAGCTGAGTGTCTTCTTAGGATGTGAAGTCAGGGTACCCATCCTCTACCTGGGACAAATGCTGCATCACAGACCCGCTCTGCATGTCCATCTCTGAGCAGAGACATCTTTGCATCCTTACTCGTATCACAGTGAATACTTGGCTTGTGTGTGTTAACATCTTCCCATTATTTACAGTCGCCTCTTCCCACGCAAGTCTCACCTTTAATTTCACCCAAGCTAGAAATCCCAGACTTCACACATTCTCTGCTTCCCTTCACAGTGGGTGCTAGATGGTTTTGGAACTTCAGGACTAAGGTTCTTCTCTTACTCATCTTCACATTTCAGAGACTCTAGCACAGAACTGAGACCCCTAGTAAGCAAACAAACTTCATTCTGTTCTCCACCACTTAAGTACATTACAGAAGCTACAAAAGTAATTTACTGGTAACCAGACCCCTATTCCTCATCTTAAAAGAGGTAAGTTCAGGAGTGAAAAGACAAAGCATCACCAGAAAGGATGGACAAGTGGCAAATAAGCACTGAAATAGATGTGTAGTATCATGAGCCATCACAGAAATGCAAACCAAGACCACCCTGAGCTGGTCCTATTCTATTATCATAGCTTAAATTAAAAAGCAGTAACCCCACCCAGTGTTGGTGAAGATGCAGGGAAATGAGATCATTCATCTGCTGCTGGCTGGAATATAAAATAGCATAAGCTCTCAAGAAAGCCATACATTGTTTCTTATAAAACTAAATGTACAACTACCATATAACTCAACAACTGCACTCTTGGGCATTGCTTCCAGAGAAATAAAAAAACTACATGAGAATTCATAGCAGTTTTATTCAGGATAGCCAAAACTTTGCAACAGCTCAAATACCAGCAGCAGGTCAGTGATTCAGCAAGCCATTCTATCATACTACTTAACAACAAAAAGAACACATCGTGGACATAAATAACCACCTGCATAAGTCTCCAGGGAATTACTATGCTACCCTGAGAGATAAAAGTCAATTTCAAAAGGTCAAATATTGTATGGTCTAGTCCCTGTATCAAGGACCAAAGCCAAAACAAAAACTATGACTGCACTTATACAGTGGAACCTCAGTTCACAAACTTGATGCTTTCTACAGTTCTGGTCAGAAACCAAATTGGACGAGAACCAAATCAAATTCAATGGTTAGTTCAACGTTGACCTTATGGGGACATTTAATTGGGTTCTCATCCAGTCCCACTTGCAGCCAGAATCATGGATAGAACTGAAGCACCACTGTATAGTATTTTTGAAATACCATTTTCAAAACAAAGAACAAAGAGCAGAGTAGACTTTCAAAATGAAAAGCTGGTGGGAGGGCTGAGTGAGGTGGACCTGGCAAAAAGGGAAATAGGAAGGAAGGTACTTGTGGTGATGAACTGTTGGGTCTGTTGACCATGGCAATAGATGCTGAAACCTACACCCATAGGCATGGGTGTGGCTCAGTGGTACAGCA